AGACACATTATAATCTCTCCAGAGCTTAAGGTAGCAAACAGTACTTTCACATTATATAAATATCAATGCCAAAAGCCAGAGTTATGATAGCTGTTGCAGTGTAATGTAGACCTGCAGGATGGGAAAAAGCAATATTATTTCCGGCTTTAATTTTAAAAGTATTATGAAACGTTAAAGATAGAATCTTAACTTTTGAAGAATGAAAAAATGCTAACTTGATGTGTATTAATTTAGTCTAAAAACAAACAGCATGTAAAAGTAAGCACCAATCGAAAGCATTTATTAGCTCTAACAGTGCTGCCCCCAGTGGTAAAAGCTAGGAGCTAACGCTTCACGGGTTGGTAAAGTTTATGTTAATAATACATTAACTTAACAATATTCCATGTCTTGCTAACACAAATTTTAAAAATAACATGCATAAAAATAAAGCAATTCTTAAAATCATAAATGAAGCATCATTAAATTAAATGGGAGAGAAATGGTGTTCCAAAATTTTTTTTTGTTGTAAAACTTTGACCTTTATATTTTTCCAATTCTTAAAGTATATAACCCAAACCAAATTGTCTATAAAATTCTGCAAACAAATATAATATTATAGAGGCATGAAAATACCAATGGTGTAAAAATCAAAACAGCAAAGTTATCCTGATAAATGCAATGAGCTATGATAAGGTGTGTTACAGGCTAACAAAAACCTTAATTGAACCAGAAATGTTGATACCATAAAAAAAATAAGAAACAATTTTCAAGAATAGAGTTATGTAAATGAATTAAATGTGAAAAAATTAAAATAAAATAAAGTAAAAAAAGCTTTATTGATGAAACTACAGTAGAGCAATAATGATAACAAATTATTCATAAATTATGTAGTTACAAAAGTCAAGCTTCCCAAAATCATTATTCGAAGAAATCTCTTTCAAAATTGTCAAAATCTATATCAAAGCCCCCTGATAAACAATTTTGCGTGTCTTGCTAAAAGTAGAACTAAAGACAAATAAATTTTTAGGGCTGGAAACACGGGAGCATGCTACATAGAGTTGCCCATGCGAGAAACAGGGAGACTCAAGATGCACACCAACTACTTGCAATGTTTGACCCTGAAGCATGCTGAACCCTAGAGCTATTGGAACGCTGAGAAAGTTTGCTTCTTCTATGGCTTGGCATACCTACAAACACAAAGCATTAGTAAAAATAAAAATAAGGATAACTGAAAAATGTAAAACATAAAGGATTGAGATTGAAAAAAAAAATTCAAAAATAGTGTATTAAAATAAGCGAGACTCATGACTAAGGCCAAAATAAAAAAAAGCATAGAAATATTCTGAAAGGAGGGGAAAAATGCATAAAACTCAGCGAAAACGTAAAACAACTGATTAAAAAAAATCAAATGGAAGAAGACGTAAAAAAAAAAAAATACAATTAGCTGAAAAAATATGCACAACAAATATGAGTAGAACATACATAGATATATATGAGCAGCTACATATTATGAAGCAGATAAATCTAAATCAGTGATTCTCAACCAATGTGCCGCGGTAATTTTGTGTGCCGCGAAATTCTAAAAATGTGTCGCTGAATTTTAGGCATATGATTATGTTCACGTTTGTAATGGTTTTTCTTTTTTTCTTTTTCATTTTTTTACTTTTTAAAATAACGAAATTAGCAAATTGAATGTTAGAGATGAATATTACTTAGATTTTGCATAGAAATATTGATACATAATTTGAATTTTCTTGCATTCAAGTTAGCAAAAGTGTGCCGCGAAATTCTAAAATTGTGCCGCCAAATTTTCAAATCTTTAAAATAATGCCGCAACAAAAAAAAGGTTGAGAATCACTGATCTAAATACTACCTAAACAAATGACAGCAAAACAAAAAAAAAAAAAAAAAAAAGACAATGGAAGAAGGCCTAAAAAAAAGTCTAATTTGGTTGAAAAAACTGCCCAATAAATTGAGCCTATATAGATATATGGACCCGGCTTCGCCCGGGTATTGTTCGAGTGGGGTTTACTCTTGAATGAATAGAGCCCCCAACTGTTTTTAAAACTTTAAGTAAAGAATTTTCTTTCAGCACAATGGAGATAAACTGAAAATATCAAAATTAAAAATTCTGGTAAAAATAATCTGAAATATAAGATCAATTTCACAAACACATCTAATGTATAGAGTGCTTTTTTGGAGGAGTGGTCTAAACTGTTGATTTTTAAAAACCACGACCCGGGATCATCGAATCCAGTTTTGGGGAATTTGTTCTGAAAAAAAAAATTGCCCCAATGGCCCCTGATTCTTGAAAAAGTCAAACCCCTCCAGTGAGTGCAAGTAACCAAACTTGGCTTTGGTATCTAAAAAATGAAAAAAAAAAAATCAAAGGATTAGTGTGAATTAAGGGAAATGGGCCTCGCAACCTGAAAATTTCACTTTCTCCACTTCACTCTCGGCAGTTCAAGAAGAAACAGCCAGATTAAACATTTTTAAGGGCACCTAATCCGGCATGTACATCTATAGTTAAACAACTTTTAAAAATGTAATATATCTGCAATACTGAAATACCCAGACTTGGATTTTTTTTATTAGTTTATTGTTGGCAGTTTTAGGAAAATGTGGGAAATTAGATATTATTACAAAAGAATGTACTTTTTAAAATGGCATAAAATAATTAGGAAATTTGCATCATTTTCAAATAGTCAAGGGCAATGTTAAAAATATCAAAAAAGCAAGACCAAATAAAAAATAAACGAATTATGTGTGATGTTGCAATAACAGCATTGTCACCTTATAAAGACAAAATTACTGAATGTATTCAGTACTTTTGTCTGAAGATGGTAACAATGCTGTTTCTGAAACCACACATAATTTATTTATTTGGATCTGGTCTTGCTTCCTTGTGATTTTTATCTATATTTCAAAATATAACTCAATTCTTTTTTACCTAAAAAGCTTTACATATATATTGTAAAGACCATAAATAAAGGTAAAATTGCAAATGAGTTATTAATTAACCCTATATGGGTCAGGATATATATCTAAATGCATTCATATAAAAATATGGTTGAACCATATAAATATATATAAATGCTATTAGAGCATAAACATATTACATGGAACAAACATATAGTAAAATATATGTAGCAAGTTATATTGTAAAACATACTTTTTTCAATAAATATACTTTTTACAACTTTAATAAAATTTATACGCACTCTAAATATAAGAAAGAAAAAAAATAGAATACTGTTCTAAAAATAATATACCTTATGAGATAAAATACTACACTTATCGTTAAAGATGTAGATCGTTATATTTACACTAATTAAAATTAAACGAAGCAAAATATATGAATAAGCTGCGAAATAAATAATAATTTCAATTAATTTAAATTGAAAAAATATTACTAAATGATTAAATAAAATCTACCTTCTAAAAAGGAAAAGAAAGTTTTTCGAAATGCAATTTTTGTGCTTTTAGCCTAAATGTTAAACCAAAACCTCAACTCCCTACGTGCGAAATTTCACAATACAGTTTTAATTAACCCAGGTTCCGGGGGCGTATTTATTTGATAATGATCGATTAAAATTATTTTAAAAGAGTTTAAATATATAAAAATAATCTTACCTTTTAAAGACACACATTAATCGGGTAAAATTACAAAACAACAACGTGTAAAATTATTAACCAATCAGATTCATTTATCGTCGCGACCAGTGCGCCGCCAAGCGGTAAAAGGCTTGAACTAAGGAATTTTGGTTTAACATTTTTTAAAAATAGCACATTAAACCTTTTCGTTTTTTGAATAGCCTATATGTTAAACGAAATCTTCAGCTACCTACATGCGAAATTCCATAATGATTGAGTCAGTAGATTTTGCGTGATGCGATAACAAACATCGATTTCGCATTTCATTTTTATAGATATAAAGGATGATGTACTAACATTAAATTTGTGTTTCAGAACTTTTAAAATGAAGCTGCTGTTACCTGTTTTATGTCTTCTAGGTAAGTAATTCATTATGTATGTAGAATTTATGGGGAAATTTTTATATGGTGTAAGATACGGTTTAGTATGTAATGTAGATAGGATCCTACTGACTGGGGCAATAATGGTTGTCGAAGTGTATGCTGAAAATATTTATAGTGGATGAAAATTTACTTTGAAAATACACCTATCCCCCGATTTACACGGTACTTGTTTTACACGTTTTCGCTTTTACACGGTTTTCCAAATAAGTTTTTTTTTTTGTTTTTATCGTACTATACTAAATGCTACTGTGATTGAACACATGCGCTGTGTACACATCTCACGAGGAATCCCGAGCTTATGTGCCGACTTGCTGCACACGCACACTGTGTCTGTATTTCTTCGCATAAAAATTTCGCGAAATATTTTAATTTTCGATTTACACGTTTTTCTCAGGAACGTATCTACCGTGTAAATTAGGGGATAGGTGTATATCCAATTGACCATGGTATAGGCCATGATAATCATGAAAATGTAATTTTTAACGCTACTTTTCTTTTTAAATATATAAAATTAGTTATTTCTACAGCCTTTATACCACGCTTGTTCGGCGGTACATATACTAAAATTGGAACGATACAGAGAAGATTAGCATGGCCCCTGAGCAAGGATGACACGCAAAATCGTGAAGCGTTCCATACAGCCTTTATACCGTAATAAATATAAATTGAAAGAGAGAGGGCTTGGCTCATCAGTAGTGAACCCTCACAGCGGTTTCGCCAGTTTAATCTCAAGACCGTTCTACTATTGTATTATAGACTGATTTTCTTATATACAACCTACATTTTCTATCGAGTACAATAAATGGGTGTTTTTTAAAAGAACTATGGAGATATGTTTCTATAAATCATAATGTAAAACGACATTTGAAATACTATCCCGCATGTGTTTCTTTTCAACGAAAAATCAAAATTTATTTCAAGGAGCAATAACGATTATTTCTAACCTTTTGGATGAGGTATGAAAGGGTGAATTGTGAAGAGTAAGCCTGCCTAGTGGACATGGCATCTGCCCGGTAAGCAGAACACTGTGGGTTCGATTCCCATCCCTGGACACTTTTATTTTTCCGTTTATCATTACTCTTCACAATTCACCCTTTCATACCTCATCCAAAAGGTTAGAAATAATCGTTATTTCTCCTTGAAATAAATTTTGATTTTTCGTTGAAAAGAAACACATGCGGGATAGTGTTTCAAATGTCGTTTTACAATTATAAGCCGCATTATATTATAAATCATAATGTATCGTCTGCTTTTTTCACATGTGTAGACATGTGGTGCACTTACAGTAAAAGCAGTCGCCAACTTTTACTCACCATGATTATCATGGCCTGTAAAACGTGTACTACGAATAAAAAAAGAGAGTATCACACACACACACACAAAAGCCTTTATTAAGACACACAGGTCTTACAGAGGATTCTCCTTGGGGTTACAAGACGGAGAAACCCATGAAAGTGGGAAATATACAAAGGGGTAAAAATGGAGAAAGATTATATACACATGGTAAATATATAAAAGAGAATATCTTTAGCAACTGCTTATACAGTAACTGTACTACATGGTCGATACATGGCTATAGAAGTTGGACCTTTGCAATTCGCAAGGTTTCAGAGTCCCTTTTGGTTACTTTCACTCATTTCTGGCGATCTGTTGAATAAAATTTACAAAAACAGCTATCAGGGTTCACCACTGATTAGCCAATCCTTCTTAATATTTTTCATCTCCATTAGTTAGAAGTTTTTAGACATTTTAGTCTTTAAAAATAGAACATAATAATCAACACATCGATCTCTCCTTCTTCTTTCTTATCTCCACTCAACAATCATATCAGGGTATCAAGCTTGTAAATCTTGTTGATGGTGTCTGCTGGGGATGTGTCTTCTTCTTTCTTATCTCCACTCAACAATCATATCAGGGTATCAATCTTGTAAAGCTAGCTGATGGTGTCTGCTGGGGATGTGTCTTCTTCTTTCTTATCTCCACTCAACAATCATATCAGGGTATCAAGCTTGTAAAGCTTGTTGATGGTGTCTGCTGGGGATATGTCTTATTCTTTCTTATCTCCACTCAACAATCATATTAAGGTATCAAAAATGTAAAGCTTGTTGATGGTGTCTGTTGGGGATGTGTCTTCTTCTTTCTTATCTCCACTCAATCATATTAGGGTATCAAGCTTGTAAAGCTTGTTGATGGTGTCTGCTGGGGATGTGTAGAGCTCCTCAATGGCTGAGTCAATACAGTTAATAATGTGTTATGGGAATGCAGGTTGAGAATTGCATTTAGTACATAGTGGGAAAACCTTGCAACTATTCTGGAAAGTCATTTTCCGTAGATGACCAGACTTAAGTCTGGAAATCAAAGCACATTGATAATTATTTATTTAAAAAGACATATATTGGATCAAAATATCATTTATTTTACCAATATTTCAGTTGGCTGAACACCAACCTTTATCAAGGTGTTATAAAATATTTAATGTGTGTCAACAACAAACTCAGCGACACAAAACGTCAAACTTAATTCTGTTGACGTTATGTTGCGCTGAGTTTGTTGTTGACACACTTTAATATGTTATAATACCTTGATAAAGGTTGGCGTTCAGCCAACTGAAATATTGGTAAGATAAATGATATTTTGATCCAATATGGATTGCTCTATCTATTTATGGATTGATAATAATGTTGAATTAACCTTTTTTTTTCTCTATATCTACAATAAATAAATGTGGTTAAATATGTGTTGGGAGAACGAAATTACCTTCTATTTTAACTTATAGCTGAAATGTGTGTGCCATTATAACGTACAGAATTCAGGAAAGTAGAACACAGGAAGATGTCTAGTCATTAACTCCAAGAATGTGTTCCGGAACACCAAAATGTCGTCCAATTATACAGAGCGAAAATATCCCACAAATTCTCCACGTTTGCATCATTACAACTTTTTCTACTTTTTTACTTTCCTTTATATATCTCTATCTCACTTAAAAACATGGTGGTTTTAAAGGCAACAATTCTATTTTCTATTTCTTCAAAATGAATATATATACACATGGACAAAACTTAAGGAAATAGAAAGTCTTTAATGTTGTTAGTAGCCTCTTTGTTTGTTTTTAAGGAGACAGAGGCTGTTCACACTTGGTTATCTCGTGTGTCTTCAATAAAGGTCACTGTAATATCTATTAGAGTTAGTGACTGAATACCGATATACATGCTAAAAGGTACAACTTCCTTAAGTTTTGTTCACACTTGGTTATCTAGTGTATCTTCAATAAAGGCCACTGTAATATATTTCATAGTTATTGTCTGAATCCCGATATACATGCTAAAAGATAAAACTTCCTTAAGTTTTGTTCATGAGTGTATACACACTTGGTTATCTCGTGTATCTTCAATAAAGGTCACTGTAATAACTTTCAGAGTTATTGTCTGAATCCCGATATACATGCTGAAAGATACAACTTCCTTAAGTTTTGTCCATGAGTGTATATAGAATTTAATACTAATGAATGACCAGGCTTCGCCTGGGTTTTTCCTGAGTGAATATTTGACCAATATATTGCATATTTTAATATGATACATTAGCGTGCCATCTGTTATCAGAAATTTAAACTATTTTTGACCCGTATGTTTCTTTCTGAAATAAAACAATCTTCTACTGCCCTTACTGCAATGATAAAATATCGGAAGGACCTGACTCACCAGTGGTGAACCCTCTCAGTGGTTTCGCCAGTTTAATCTACCATACTGATGTAATATTGCATTTAGCTGTTTTCCTTTTATAGTGATACTGAAGCTAGACTTTTAATTTACCCACACATGTTCCTAGTAGAATTTCACAATTTTATACTTATATATATATGTCATAATATATACTCTTCTAGGTATAATAAAGCAAACCTACAGACAACCCAGAGAGACGGGAGGGTAAGGACCGGTCACTTTAGACATCAGCGACATTCCAAGGGGCGACCACTGGGGTCCGTCACTTAACACCTGGGGACTTTGAAGACAGTTGGGGATTGTGTGCGACACGAACGGCCGCCCGGCTGTGCCGGTCCCGTCTCTCTCTCTCTCTCTCTCTCTCTCTGGTTGCCTGGGTTCTTCTTCCAAATTGTGGTGTGATTATTTCTCTTTCCCCACCTTATTATATTGCCATATATATATAAACATTCTTGATTTTAACATTACAATTTGTGTTTCAGTCAGCGTGGTGTACGCTCAAGAGCGGGTGAGTTGGTCAAAAACATTTAAATACCAATGATAATTAATTATATTTTAATAATATAAAAAAAGTAAATTAGATTACACAATAGTGATTGCCGTATAGTTGGCGAATTTTTCATATTTATATATAGTATTTACTATTTATTTATTTATATATGTGATAAGATCCAGTCGACTTATCTGTGATGAGGTATCCTGTCGACTCTCGCTATAACTGTAGTAACCGAGAGGGACAGTCAGGGCGTGGAGAGTTTTCCAGTACCTCTCTGCACCTTGGAGGACCTTTAACAGTTCTCACAGAGTACAGGCAGTCGTGGTCGAGGCAGAGTGGAAAGCTTGGGAATGTTCACACAAAAAAAACGAGGAGACACAGTTGTAGTAGGAAAGTTCCACGAACAGATAAAAGTCGAGCTGAGAGCAAGATGGAGTTAGATGAGTCTTACTGTTTTACATGGCGATGAGGTGGACCTGGCTACGACCAACAAGGGCTTACGCCGACGGTGAAGTGACTGGCCCTGTAGGGCTAAAACCGAGGTTTTTATATACCATTCCCGAGGAGGGGGGGGGGGGGTTAGACTTTGAACGTCTGCGGCATTCTGCACCCTTTGACCTCGATGGCAACGTCTTGCCAGGGTTGTTGGATTTCTCTCTCGATTTTAGACGTTTTTGAACTTCTCAATCTTGCTTTAACTCAGCTCTTAATCTATTACATAGTTTTATTTATTCATCCTCAGTTTGTACAAAGTACATTACATATGGTGATGCAATGACACATGTCAATCATGCGTATAATTATTTATAGATGTGGTTCTATATACAACATGACAATCTTGTTATAAGTATTATACAATATAGGGTTGTTGGTTTAAATTACCATATATATACTCATGGACACACACAAAACTTAAGGAAGTCGAACGTCTTTGTGACCAGTTGTCTGTATATCGGGATTCAGATAATAACTCTGAAAGACATTACAGTGACCTTTATTGATGGCACACGAGATAACCAAGTGTGAACAGCCTCTGTCTCCTTCCAAAAAAAAAAAAATAATAAATAAATGAAAATCAGACGACCGACGATATCAAAGTCTTTCCACTTTCTAAGTTTTATCCATGAGTGTATTTACGCATTGTTCTTTTCGGAAATATAAAAGCTAAATACAGTAGAACCTCCTTGTAACGGACAATACTTAATTATAAAGCCCAAGTGTCCTTTAGAGAGAGGTGTCTTCTTACCAGAGAGTTACTTAATAGTAAAAATGATAATTTTGCAAATGAAAACTGTCTTTTCTAGAGAGATGTCCTCTAGCGCAAGTGTCCTCTCATGGAGGTTCTACTGCATATGAAATGCAAAATGATATAGTATTTGAAGTGATATATACAGCCTCCTAAATATAGAAGACTTGTAAGTGAAGACTATATTATCCTGATCTCCCTTAGAGTATCGGACTGGTGAAGACTATATTGCCACGTGGAAAATTAGGGAAGACAAAAACTTCAGGATGAGACAACAATTTATTTCAGGCAAGGACAAACTATGAATGATGTATACTTCTTCTCAATGTATAATTTTCTTACAACATAAACCTTAGATTAATAAAACATTGGATCAGTAAACATGAGGGCAACCATTTCATTCAATTACATAACTTTATTTTTCATATAACATTTTTGTAAACAAAAAAGGTGATGATGATAAATTCAATGAATATTTACACAATCATAGAAAAATTATATTAAACCTTTATATAAACATAAATATTCTAACTAAATTAAACAAATGATAAACAAAATATAAGCTACTAGAAAAAATTACAGAGTAGTAAAA